CCCTCAGAGAGCAGGGGCGGGGTCAGCAGAGCTCATTAACATTTAAAGGAAAATGCTACAAAACGGCTTGCTCTGAAAAGAGCTGTTTTTGACAGGGTGTTTTTTACACTACCATTGAGAAATTTTAACCAAACTATGTTACAGACTTTTCATTAAGACCCTAAAGAATCATATCAGCTTGTGGAAAATGGGCATCCGATGACCCCTTTAAAGGTACATTTTAGCACCTAAAGTGTACATATGATATTAGTACCTAAAAGGTACAAAAGTGTACCTTTTGAAAAGGTACCGCCCCAGTGACAACTTTTGTACCTTTTTTTCTGAGAGTGCATGATGAGAATCATTTTAGTGTAAAAAACGGATATGCAAAAGTCCAAAGATATGAAACATACCGTCTCAAATGTCTCTGTGTGTTAGTCACGTCCATGCAAATGAGCGTTCATGAACATGAGATATAGTGTGACTGTGTTTTAGCACATGCAGCATCTCAATGATGCTCTTCAATGCACAAAGCTGCTATAGTGTTTATTAATATTTTGAATTCAATTTTATATTAATATTTTATAGTTTTTGTTTTATAGTGTTTAATTGTGTTATTCTTAGTAATTTTGTTGTGCTTGTCATTTTTTATTTGCTTATTATTAATATTTATTAATATTTGGATTAGTTTTTATTTTTATATTTTCTGTTTTCATTTTAAAGTTGTAGTAATTTTGTTGTGTGTTTTTGTAATTTTATATATATTTTTCTTTTTAATATGCTTGTATAGTTTCTATTAATATTTGAATTTGCTTTTATTTGTGCATTTTCTATTTTCATGTTAGTTTTAGTAATTTTGTTGTGCTTATGTCATTTTTTTATTTGCTTATTATTAATATTTATTAATATTTTTATTAGTTTTTATTTTTATATTTTCTGTTTTAATTTTAAAGTTGTAGTAATTTTGTTGCGTGTTTTTGTCATTTTATATATTTTTTTCTTTTTAAATATACCTATATATATATATATATATATACTGTATATATATTTCCATTTTATTAATATTTCAGCTTTAGTTTTACTTATTTTAGTACTTCAAGTTAAAATGAAAATGAGAAATTGGCAACTAGCTGAAATAAACGTTTTTTATATTTTACTTTATTTCATGTAACAAAAATGTTTTAGTAACACTTTACTTGAAGCCTTTATATATTATGTTATAAAAGTATTTTGAATGCATTAATTATGCCTTGTAATGCACCTTATAATGCATTATATGATCAAAATGAATAATTATAATACTATATAATGCAATTTCATATGTACTGTCACAAGGAATCTGAAAATATTATAATGCATTTTAACTGTTTACAGTTACTTATGAAAATATATAATGCATTACAACATACAGTATGAACTCTTTATAATGCATTATACATAAAGGCTTCAAGTAAAGTGTGTTTTTTATGCTCTTATTTTGAACTATAATAGCTCTGGCACAGCGCTTCGGTTTCAGAACATATTTAACTATAAGCGTTTTTCCATTTCTGCTCATTACGATCTTATTAGATTTTAAATAACATTCTAATCACGTCAAGAAAACGATAAATTTTAACGTTCTTAGAATATTCAAACTAAACATTCAAATAACGCTACATTTTAGGTGAAAATAAAGTTATAGTAGAATGTTATAGTATATAGTTGTAGTTATTGTCACGAATTCGGTCCATGGACTTCCGTTTATTCACCACCAGAGGTCACCCTTTCCATTACATTGACTCTCGCACAACACAAACTGTTGCATAGCACCCCGGACTACATATCCCATCATTCTTTGTTATAAGAAACGTTTTTTTTGTAACCTTTAAATAACATTCTAACATTTTGTAACCTTTGAATAACATTCTAATCTTGTCAAGAAAACGATACATTTTAACGTTCTTAGAATACTCAAAATAAACATTTAAATAACGCTACATTTTAGGTGAAAATAAAGTGATGGTAGAATGTCATAAGAAACTTTTTTTTTTGGTAACCTTTAAATAACATTCTAATCACGTCAAGAAAACTATACATTTTAAAGTTTTTAGAATAGTAAAAATAAACATTCGAATAACGCTACATTTTAGGTGAAAATAAAGTGATGGTAGAATGTCATAAGAAACTTTTTTTTTTGGTAACCTTTAAATAACATTCTAATCACGTATTTGACCCTGCCTGTTTACCACGTCTCTTTAATAAAGCCTGCAGATGGATCCACACGTCTCACGTCTCGTCAGCCCCGTTACAGTTATATAGTAGAAGAAACGGTTTTTGAAACCTTTAAATAACGTTATAATCACGACAAGAAAACTGGACATTTTAGTTAAACAACGTTCCCACAACGTTTTTATAACCTAAATTTGTTTCTCTGTGTTACCGACCATATATATACAGACCTGAGAATAATTTTCTCTGATAATATTTCAGAAATAATGTCATGTGTTTTCTGTCAGATGTTTAGAATCATTTGCATTAATGCATTTAGCAGATGGCTTTATCTGAAGCGACGTACAAAAGAGGAACAAGGCAATACGTAAAAGATTCGTAATATACAATACCTGGACAACTAGATTAGGATGCAAACTAGAAACTGAATTGTCTGGAATAGTAATGGGATTGAAGAGGTGGATTTTACCTACAGTCCGTTGTAGGAAAGAAAACACACGGATGTCTTTGATTTGATTCAATGAATCAGCTTGACTCAGTTCTGTTTGTATAAATATTTAAGTAACAGTATAAAAAAAAAAAAAGAGTATGAAAATATTTGGAACTAGAAACGGCTCTGGTTACGACTAAATTGGTTCTTCACATAAATAGACAAATTTAAACACCTAAGGAAAACATATTTAAAAAAGCCTAAATATATCAACTATGTTTGTTACAAAGTATATTTATAACTGTTGAGAGCAAAGAGCAAAGCATGTGTGGTTTCCTTGAGCACAAGATCCACTCAACATCAACATGCTGCATTTCTTCTGAGGTCTTTTATATAAAGCTGAAGGCTCTGTGTTTTGTAGTGCGTCCTCAGCTCTGAGGTGAACTTGACGGAGTGCTGCAGGTGATTCCTGACACACAAACAAACACAGTCTTTCACTGAAAGCCAGCTGTTATTTACATAATGTGGCGTGTTTCCGAGTAAAAATGGGTTTTTAACCCTTCACGTTGTGTTTGGGTCATTTTGGTAAGGGGCCGTTCACACAGAATGCGTTTTTCCACTCCAATGTGCTACTTTTCCATTGTTTTTCTGTAATAAATGCGCTAGATGGACGTGTATTTCCCTCGCGTCTCGCATTTTTTTGCATCTTTTGCATATTTTGCGTTTTTAAGACACTGTGTCAAGTTAAAAGAATATTAACTTTCACACGCAACGCCACTCATCAATGTCAGTTTCAAAACAGTGGACCAATCAGAAGACCCCGGAGGCGGGGCAAGCGTTGTTTACAATAGCACGTTGGCATGGCAACTGTTTTATCTGATTGCAATATGACTTAGGAGGCGTTCTGCGCTGCGCTTTTTTAAAAACCATTTCGTTTTTAGATGCAAAGACCCTTAGGGGCCATTCTCACAGAACGCGTTTTTCCATTCCAATGCACTACTTTTCCATTGTTTTTCTATGTAAATATGTGCTAGACGGACGTGTATGACCGTTTTGCTCACGAGACACAGCCCTCAGGAATGTTTTTTAAAAACAATGGAAACAGAAAACAATGGAAAAGTAGTGCATTGGAATAGAAAAACGCGTTCTGTGTGAACGGTCCCTAAGTTTGTTATTCAAGAACGTTAACATTACATTCAGGTTTTATGAGTCTGTTTTTGAGCGGCTGGTGTTTAGCAGCTGTGGAGATTCAAAGCAAAACCTCAGTAGTGAAGCTAAATATAGATCTACAGAGTCATCCAGCTGTTCTCAGACCTGCAGCTCCTCTCTGATGTGTCCAAACCCCTGACCAGAGACCTGAATGAAAGCAGATGGCAGCAGGGCCGAGCAGAGCAGACCTGTATTTCAGGAGATGTTCTGTCAGTGGTCGGGGTTGATGTTACATCAGGACACATCAGTCAGGATCTGCGGTGGACACGTTCCACGTGTTCCTCAAGCAGGACATACCGATGTTCACACGCGTGAGGAGGTCTGAACCTGTGTTTGACCATAACTGGGCATCAGAGCTCCTCCATCTGCTTCTGTTTGAGCTCCGTCTGTAGTGACTTCAGCTTTGATCAGACGTCAAACACGTTTGTTTCAGGACAAGTTCAGGAGCGGCATCGTTTGTTGTTACACGATCTGCTTTAGATGGATGGATGGATGGATGGATGGATGGATGGATGGATGGATGGATGGATGGATGGATGGATGGATGGATGGATGGATGGATGGATGGATGGATGGATGGATGGATGGATGGATGGATGGATGGATGGATGGAT